ACTACCCCCAATCTAGTAATCTCCCGATAATTCCCAAAGGTTCAAGAGAAGGAGTGGCGTGATACTAGTCATGTGACCTCACTGATGCAACAGTAGTTTCCAACTTCCCATTTGCTTGAGCTTTATGTCCACCTACTGTTTGCATCAATCAGTCTCCATCTCTGAAGGCAATTTACCATCTTTCATTAACAAATTAGGTTATACAATTGTAGTTGTGGAACCAGTGTGAATCAGGCAAGCTTTTCCATCAATAAGCTTGTGGACTCATGAATAATTTTCCTCAAATGTTGAACTTCTTTTCACATACATGATAGAATATTTCCAGATGAATATTATCTTATAAATCCAATTAATTTCTGTTTTCTAGATGTTTTATTAGCTTTGTGTTGTTCATTTGATCTGGTTGAGCTCTGTCTCTCTGGTTGCTGATTCCTAACAACCTTGACTGTAATGTCCATCTTTTCCATAATTATATTGTTACCTCTTTCTGGTATCCTCTGAGAACTATAATTCCATACAGGACTTCACTTGCAGTTCCTGGTTGAAAGATTATTTAAATTTGCTGATGACATTAAAGTTTTGGGTATTGCTGGCTTTGAGGAGGATGCTGCTGATTAACAAAAGGATTCAGTGTTCAGCAAATAAATGGCAGATAGCCTTTAATTATAATAAATGCAAAGTAATGCATGTGGGATATCACAATTTTAATTATGAGTATAATTTTGATGGGAATAACCTTAACAGTCTTATGGAAGAAAAAGATATTGGTATTCTGGTTGATCAGTCTCTTAAATCATACAAGCAATGTGCTGTTGCTAGTGGTAAGGCAAATAGGATTTTAGGTTGTATCTACAGAAATATTGAACACAAGTCTGGAGATGTTATAATGTCATTGTAAAGGTCATTGGTTAAGCAACATTTGGAGTACTGTGTTTAATCTTGGGCTCCTTACCTTAAGAAGGGCATTGAATTGTTGGAAACGATTTGGGGAGGATTAATAAGATGGAAAGGTTGTTATATGAGGATAGTTTAATACCTCTGAAAGAAGAATTAGAGGGGATCTGTTTGAGGTGTTTAAGATTTTTAAGCAAATTGATTTATCATTTTTTGTTACATTTAATCGTGAGAATGGTAAGACACAAACATAAATTTTGGTAGGACAGAAGTCATCTTCATCAAATATAGCTTTATTTTTCTAACAGGGTAGTTGATCTCTGGAATAAGTTACCTTCAGATATAGTGGTTGCAGTTATGTTAAGAGAAAGCTTGATAAATATATGAATGATAAAGGCTGGCCTTGAGTTTTTTGTTTCTTTTTAAGAGTTTAATTTAACAAATAGGTCATTTGTTGTCCTTTAATGTTATATTATTTATTATTCCCCCTTTTTTTTTATCTACCTCATTGATGTCTTTCTTTACTTCATCATTTTTATCCTACAGCATTGCTGTACTTCTTCAATTTTGTCATTACAGCCTCTTTGCAGTTTTTTTTTTTACACTCTGTATTTCGTTAAATTAGTTGTATTCTCTCTGTACATCTCTAGCACTAGCAGTTTCAATGAGCATGTCATCAATCCCACTTGTTTTATATTTTAATTTTTCCTTAGATATTAAGTCTTTTTCTTGTAACTCCTCTCATAAATTCCTCTTTTATCTCTTGTACTTCTCTAAATTTCTTCTTGGTTTTCTTTTAACTTTCTGTCTCACTCTTCCTTATCTGATATTTTAGATCTTTTTTTTAATTTTCTATCTCATCCATCCACTTTTCTCTTCTATTTCTTCTGTTCTGCTTTTAATATTCTGTCACCTTATTTCAATTTCATTTTCTTCTTGGTCATCTTAAAATTTTTTGTCTGGTTCCTCCTGATCTTGTCTTAGCAATTTCATCATCTTATGTAATGCTCTGTTCTCACTCTTCTACCTGGTGATCTTCATCATCAATAGTTAAACTTTTGTTTGTTTGTTTTTTAAGAATAAAAAAATATATTTTATTTTCATCAAAGCAATATCCTTCACCTGACACCAGTGTTGTAACGTTGTTCTTTCATGGATGGGTTATTTAAAGTTAATTGGTGAAAATAATTCAAAGTCCAGTCTACCTTACAATCACAAAGTAGCTTATTTTCTTCTTTGACGTCTCTACATGCGTGAACAATTGTACACTGTCGTACGTTGCTGTACCGTGTACGCCTACTTTACGAATGACGTTCAAACCTCTAAAAATTCTAGGATTAACGTAAAATCAACATACTTGTACGAAGTATTTTAATAATTGCGACAGAAAACATTGATTCAAATGCTTCAAAAACTGATCCAACTCCCTGTCTCGAGATAATTCTACCTATTACCTCCTTGCCTGTCTTTCAACTCACTGTATTCTTGCAACAACTATTCCGTGTCTATAATCTATCTTCAAATGCACTAGAACACTTAATACTGATTAAATAGACCTTTCTAGGCCTATCTTAACTTCGTCATTTACGACCCAGCTCCATTTAACCAACAAACAACTTAAAATATTAAAATACAGCTTACATCAACACTAACAGTAACAGCAATATATAAAAACTTTAGAAATAAGTCAAAGCTTTAAATTGTGTGAAGAACATACCACACTTAACAGTTATATCTCTTAATAAAGTATTTTGAATATACTTGAGAGGTGTAAGAGGCAAATTAAAAGTGGGATCAAGGTTTATTTGATTGAGCAAAAGTTTTGGGTCCTCGATTAAATATTATGCATTCTCCTCCTTTCCCCGAGAGTAATTTTCCTAATTTTGTCGTATTTTTACTGGGACAGATTGAAAAGTGGAGTTTGTAGCGCCGCTTCCTAAGAACGTTTAATATATATTCAACATCAAATTATTATTAAAAACATAGTTCTACATCTAAAAAAAAAAAAATAATTGATAGAAAATATTGTTACCTAATTCTTATAATCGACTGGTTCATAAGTGATTCCCCCCCAGTGGCAGAGCGGCATGTCTATGGACATACAACGCTAGAAACCGAGTTTCAATACCTGTGGTGGGCAGAGCACAGATAGTTCATTGTGTAGCTTTTTGCTTAACTTCAAACAAATCATAAGTGATACAATGGATTACACAAATTTAATAACAACAGTTTGTTAGCACAGTTGACACAAGTTTTCAATATATATGGGTAATACTTCTAATACAAGAAAACTAAACGTTTCTTGATTTTAGTAGCTGGATTTAAATATTTATCTTGCGTTACTGGTTAAAAGTTTGGAACTTCTCCCAATATGTTTTTAGCAAGTAATAAGTATTGCATATATCTTTATGTATTTGGTGAATTAAATATAGTTGTATATTTTTATTTTTTTTTAAAAGCGGCCTTTGTATATTTAAGCAATATCCCTTACACCCCTCTTTGGTTACCTTTGTTTAATATAACAAGTATGAGATATAAATCTTGCTTTCAACTTAACAGTCCAAATTTAATTAATACATTTAAATAAGAGACACCACGCATGTGCATTATGGTTCTACCAGGATGGATTATTCTCTCTCCCAGGGACATAATCCAGGCACACTCAAATGTCATATCCTCATCTTACTCTTGGACGATACGGAAAAAAGCGCGTGTTTTTCAGTTGCACACATAAAAAAGGACTAAATGAAGGCAGATGATAAATAAAACTTATAGTTATTTAAGTACTTACAGTATTTGTTCTTTTCAGCACTTGCTCCGTAGGTGCTGAGTCCTAATACTAGGAAGACAAGAATCACTAAGCTCGACGGAGAAAACAGCGCAGGCATGACGCAACGATTCATGTTGAGGAGCTAGCTCATTGATCACTCCATCGGCTAGCCCCCAGGAAATGCAGCCACTTTCACAGCAATGTACTCGTTACTATTTAACTCAAAAATAAATGCACATTTTTTGTTCTTCAGCACTAATGCATATTACTTGCACAAATCCATTATCAAGACAATAAATCTGCCTTGCACATAACATTTTAAACTTTCACTTCTCCATGAATACCCAAAATAAACGCTGCAAATTAGCGTTTACTTGCTCCGAAATGATCAACCAACTCACAAATCTGGGGTTTGTAGTTTAAACCATTATTAAAAGAGGGCGTTCCATTAATATATCATAAGTGAAATTTTAAGTACTAACAGACGTGGCGGTTAGCTGTAGAGAAATAGTCTAATACAAATACGTAAAGTTTCTTAATTAAAACAATGTTACAGGCTATATTTTTAATTAAAATGGTTGTGTTGTATTTGACTAAAGGGAGTTATAATGTCAAATGATGAGTGCATGGCTTAATGACTAGACTTTTCGTGAAAGTTAATTAAGGAAACGGCTTGGCCAAGTGTTTTTCAGTAAGGTATTTGTTGATTATGGTGTAAACGCTTAAAGCAAGCGAAACTTTAGTAACTTATAAGCTTAAAATTTGTAATAAAAATATCATAAACTGCTGATACGTTTTTCTACATTTCTCTTAACTTGTCCATTTTGGATTCAAGTTCATAGGTATTGTTACGTCTCTGGTCGTTCGTTAATTTCCCGTAAAAATTCCTTCCGAAAAACTTCAGCGATACAAGTCCTTTCTTAAGTAAAACTAGTTTATTCTTTCTTAATACAACTTTGCAATACACTTAATTTCCACAATTAAACACACGCTATAATTCTCAACGAACGATTCGCGTACTTTACTTACTACCGCGCTTGACACAATTGTCCGTCTCTGTCTGTTTGCAATTCTATATCGATTCATTGTCTGGCGCACTTATATACAAAAATATCGCACACCTAGCAAACACTCGAGCATTCACGAACCTTCGAGAATATTTTGATGTGTTACTAGAGTCACGTGACTTCCGCTGTCGTAACATTGCCCCTTCCTTTGTATTGTTCGTCCCGAACAATAGCCACTTACATTAAACCAATAGAAAACTAACAATAAGTTAATTAAATGTACAGAATTTACAAACACAAAATTAAAATTCAACAAAGTCTCCTACTTTTACGGGACGTATCTTATTCCGTACTGGTCTCTATCTCGTTGGCTTCTGCCTCACGTGAGGTTCATCTGCTCCATCGTGAAGTGTCATATCATCGGTAACAGTCACATCAGTGGCAGTAACTTCATGAAGGGTTTCACTGTTTCCCTTCTCAAAACCGAGTAGAGTTTATTTTTCGACAGTGGCCTTTCCAGGTGACACGTCATCAGTGTTGTCTTTTGTTACATTGTTCACTTCATCCCAGCTGAAATGTCTTGGAGCGTGGTAACGCCAAAGCCTGTTGGCATGAACAACCTTTGGCTTACCTCGCCCACCACATTTTACCCAGAAAGTCACATCTGTGAGACGATCCACTATGGAGATGACAACTTAAGAGACTTCCCTTTGATCTTCCTGGGATCATACAACCACACTTTGTCTCCTGGTTCAAAGCTGACTTCAGTAGATCTCTTATCATAAGTTAACTTCATCAAATCAGCAGACGTTTTTAAGTATGAACGTACTTGATGGTGAACATCATCCATCCTTTCCGATAACACATTCACAAACTCTGACACATTTTCAGGCAACTCTTCATAAGGTGGGCGTCCTGTTAACAGATCCACTGACAACCGAAGTTCCT